ATGGAGATTTTCCATTTTTGGGCTCTATTCTCTTTCTAGATTTTTGCATCTTGTCTTCAAAACAAGATGACCCAATTTGAACTAGGACATTTTGTTATGCACAAATACTGATTTCCCAAAACAATATCTATAATAGTGCCTGTACAATCTATATTGTAAAAATTTTAGAGGAATTCTCGGACAATCCTAAACCAGATAAAAGAGACATCATCAAGAATGCAAAGTGCAAATTGTAACTAATAAACAAGAAATATTATTAGGAGGCCATAGTGCAATAAGCCAATTCTTTTGCAAATTATGGGTACCATATTGAATTAGAGCAAGACACGCTATTCATATAAAGATGCATATCAAATTAGGGCAAAAAACAACATCCATAGAAAGTAACAGATTCAATAACCCAATTCTTCTGAAGTTCCGTATAAAGAAGAAAACAACATTTGCAAATGAGCACAAAAAACCAGAATCATTGTACCAAACATAAGATCAAAGCAATAAAAAGAAATGGGTTCATAAAACCAGAATCATTGCACTAAATATGGAATCACAAAACAAATTATTTCATTATAAGAAAAGCTCTACATAAACCCTAACACCAGTACAGAAGTTTCACAGTAAGTACATTACCGGCCTTAAATCAAAACAAGTTACCCGAGTTTAAAATTTTGGGTCAAATATTTAAACTTCAAATTTGGCCATGAAGGCCATTGTGGGGGGATCTAGTTTCATTATTGCATCAGATGGGATTTTGAAATTCTCATGGAAAAAAAAAAAAAACCATTTTTTTCAGGGATTCTGAACGTATGACGAAAAAAACTAGAATTTTCTCAAATTCATGAATAGTTAGAGAAAAATATTCATTTTCTTTTCATCCTTTATCCCAAAAAACCAAAACAATCAAAGAAAATCATGTTATGATAATTACAAAGTTTCTATTGAATCATTCGTAAAATTTGATGTTTTCCGGAGATCCCTCTCTGCATGTCATCTTCATTTACCAATTGGTCTCTCTTCCTTGAACAAGCACTTCCCATTAAGCTCACCTCTCTCACTAAAAGTTCTTGTTAAGGAGCAAACAAATGCCACTATGCATCACTGCATTTTGAAAAGCAAATTAATGCATATTTATCTTTCACTCTACACAAAAGACCAAAAAAGTCTTAAGATCAACATTATATTGGTATCCATAAAACCCAAAGAAAAAAGAAATCACTGACAAAATTGAAAATGAATTCAATTTCAATTGTTTATGGATTTACAAATCTTATATAGATCAACAAAAGGATAAGAAAATAGTGAATATTTCCATCATATTAGGGTTTCAGGAAACTTACCGAGATCACAGAGAGCTTCAAAAAATTTGGGCAATGAAATAGAAATCAAAATAGTCAATGAAATGGAAATCAAAATTAAGGTTTGGAAGAATGCACAGGCGTACCTGGTTTGTTGAAGAACTGCGTGTGTGGCATAAAGAGAGAGAGAGAGAGAGAGAGAGAGAGAGAGAGAGAGAGAGTACACTAGTAGTTTGTAGAAGTAGTCGATATATGTCGCTAGTAAGTAAGACGTCTACACGAGTCGACGAAGAAGGAGGAAGAAAGGTAGAGG